GTTGAAGAAAATTGTTGATGCCCGCGACCCAATGGAGCAGGGGATGAGGGGTTTGGGGTGCGGGAGGGGCTCAGGGCTGGGGCAGAGGGTTGGGGTGTGGGGGGTGAGGGCTGTGGGGTGGGGCCAGGAATGAGGGGTTCAGGGTGTGAGAGCAGGCTCAGGGCTGGGGGTTGGGGTGCGGGAGGGGGTCAGGGCTCTGGGATGGGGCCAGGGATGAGGGCTTTGGGGTGCAGGAGGGGGTTCCAGGTTTGGGGGGGGGAATCAGGGCTGGGGCACGGGGTTGGGGCGCGGGCCTACCTCGGGTGGCTTCAGGTCAACGGCACAGCGGGGGTGCTAAGGCAGGCTTCCTGCCTGTCCTGGCATCACAGACCGTGCTGGGCCCTGGAAGTGGCCAGCAGCAGGTCTGGCTCCTAGGTGGAGGCACACAAGCAGCTCTGCGCAGCTCTCGCCCGCAGGCACCGCCCCCCCCCCCCAGCTCCCATTGGCTGGGAACCGGCCAATGGAGTGCGGAGCCAGTGCTCGGGGCAGGGGCAGTGCACAGAGCCCCGTGGCCCCCTTGCCTAGGAGTCGGACCTGCTGCTGGCTCTTTCTGGGGCGCAGCACGCTGTCAGAACAGGTAGGGACTAGCCTGCCTTAGCCGGGCAGAACCACTGACGGGACTTTTAAAGGCCCAGTCGGTGGTGCTGACAAGAGCCACCGTGACCCAGTGCCTTACATTCCGCGACCCAGTACTGGGTCACGACCCGCAGTTTGAAAACCACTGCTTTAAAGGAATAGTCAATGGGGTTTCCAACGCTGGCTCTAGCACTGGGGGAATGGGGGACATCACCATGACCGGGAAGCAACTAGAGGATCAATTGATCTCAGAGGACTGCAGAGGCTTGGAAGATTTAGGGCCAGGGAAGACAATCGGCATCTTTTCTTGGACTTCCGTGGGCTTTGGATCAGCCCTTTAGAGAGCTGGTTATCCAAGGTGGAACAGCCGGTACCATTAACTGAACCCGGTTCAGACTGTGACCTCACAGAGAACTTGCTGGGCCGGGAGAATTAATGGAGCTCTTCTGGGGCTTCTAGAGAGATTGGAGGGCTTAGGAAGTTTGCTAATCAGGGAAGAAAGTGGGCCTGATCCAAACTCCATGGAAATCAGATTCCCATTAACTTCAATGGGCTTTGGATAAAACTCAGCGCGAGCTTGCCAACCTCAGAGGACCTAGAGAACTCACTCTCCTGGCAGGGAACTTGCAGTCAGGTTAACAGCACTTTCCTTGGGGCTTTAGTGAGCACAGAAGGCTCCTTAGTTAGGCAGGGGTTTGCGGTTGGGTTGTTTTTTCTTTCCCACTCCTCCCCAGTCCTAATTTTTATTCCCGTCATGTCTAACTGGCCCCGTGCCAAGGAAAGGAGAAAGCAAATCTCAGCTGGGCTGCAGGCGTCCAGACAGAGATCAATAAGTGACACGCAGAGGAGTCTGATTTTATTAGTCTAACAGCAGAGACACCTAATAAAGTACCAAGTCCAGCCTCCTACTTAATTGCTTTCTCTTGCAGCTTTTCTTTCTTTCTTTCTTTCCTGCCCAAAATAACCCAAATCTTTCCTGGCAGTGGAGGCAAAACTCAAACACAATGAAAGTTTCAACTCCACAAACGCTGGGAGTTTCTCTGCATTTCTTTGGCGCCGTTTGGTACAATCACCGCTTAAAATTTACAAGCCAATCAATAAATAATGACTGCTGATAAAAGCTCAGTTTTTGTTTGGCCAGAAGCCAGCTCCCAATCAAAGAAGGGGTCTTCTTTTTGTGGCCCTCTGTTGTTTCCAATACACCCCAAATTCTTTCCTTAGCTTTTCAATGTGAACACAACATTGGTGAAAACGCCCAGCCTATTTAAAGCCTCAGGGGGTAGGCGGAGCCTATCAGACCAGAAGGCCCACCCTCTCAGGTGAGGGAGGGGCCACAGGACTCCAATTTAACTGCGGACAGGGGACATAAAATAAAAAAACAAGGATGGGGGTTGAAGATGTATTAGCAGGAGTGTTGTAAGCAAGACACAAGAAGAAATTCTTCCGCTCTACTCCGCGCTGATTAGGCCTCAACTGGAGTAGCGTGTCCAGTTCTGGGCACCATATTTCAGGAAAGATGTGGACAAATTGGAGAGAGTCCAGAGAAGAGCAACAAAAATGATTAAAGGTCTAGAAAACATGACCTATGAGGGAAAATTGAAAAAATTGGGTTTGTTTAGTCTGGAAAAGAGAAAACTGAGAGGGAACATGATAACAGTTTTCAACTACATAAAAGGTTGTTACAAGGAGGAGGGAGAAGAATTGTTCTTCTTAACCTCTGAGGATAGGACAAGAAGCAATGGGCTTAAATTGCAGCAAGGGAGTTTTAGGTTGGACACTAGGAAAAACTTCATAGATTCTAGGGCTGGAAGGGACCTCGAGAGGTCATCGAGTCCAGTCCCCTGCCCTCATGGCAGGACCAAATACTGTCTAGACCATCCCTGATAGACATTTATCTAACCTACTCTTAAATATCTCCAGAGATGGAGATTCCACAACCTCCCTAGGCAGTTTATTCCAGTGTTTAACCACCCTGACAGTTAGGAACTTTTTCCTAATGTCCAACCTAAACCTCCCTTAACCACCCTGACAAGGGTGGTTAAGCACTGGAATAAATTACCTAGGGAGGTTGTGGAATCTCCATCATTGGGGATTTTTAAGAGCAGGGTGGACAAACACCTGTCAGGGATGGTCTAGATAATACTTAATCCTGACTTGAGTGCAGGGGACTGGACTAGATGACCTCTCAAAGTCCCTTCCAGTCCTAGGATTCTATGATGATCCAGGGTCAAAGCAAGGGATCCAGAGAGGGACACCACGCAGAGAACCTCCAACATCACCCAAAGGAACTCTGCTTGGATTTGTGAATGGACAAGGGACCAGAAAAAGGCCCCGCAACTGCAGAAAACCCTTCTCTCCCTAGTCAGCCTTCTTCCTCCTGGACTGACAGACAGGCTGGAGAATGAGCATCGCAGTTTGTCCGCAGAACAGGTACAACATAGGCTGCTTCCCGAAACGTGCCCCTGATCCTGAGGGATCCCCCTTGGGAGGGTGACGAGAGAGTTCAGCTAGCACTGTTGCAAAGGTCCATGTAGGGCCCAATCTGAAGGCCACAGGAGTCTTTCAATCGATTTCAATGAGATTTAATTGAAATCTTTACAGGGACATGTTCCAGTGATTTATACCCTAAAATGTAGCTTTCTCTGCCGAAGAAAAAGGGTCACAAAAATGCACTGCTCCAAAACTTTCAAAAAGATCCTCTAATTCTCGGGGCCTCCGTTTCTGGATGCTCCGTTGGAGACACCTGGAAGGGGCCTGATTTCAGAGCGACTGCGTACCCACACCTCTAAGTGACGTCTGTCTATACTGCAGCCAGGTGTGAGGCCCCTCGCCCGGATAGACTGATTCGCGCTAGGTATGCTTGTGCGCTAAAAGCAGCAGTGTGGATACTGCGGCTTGGGCGGCAGCTCTACCACACAATCCCCTGGATCTGAGCGAGGGGGCAAAAGCCAGAGTCTCTGCAGGAGCCCCAACAGCTAGTGCAAGTCTGTCTGCCCAGGCCTGGAGGCTTGATCCCAGCTGCAATGTAGACATACCCAATGGGAGCTGCAGAAGCTCGGCCCTTCTGAAAATCAGCCCCTAAGGCCTGGTGGAAATTGGCGTAGTTTCCTTGACTCCAGTGGTGTTGTGCCGATTTACAGCAGCTGAGAAGCTAACATATATGTCCCTAAAATCTGACACTCAAAACAGGAGGCACCAAATATTAGAGGCTATTTTTGAAAACTCGTCCCCTCTCCGAATAGAATTGTTTTGTGATTTCTTTATTCTCAGTTTCCACAAGACCAGGCATTTTCGTTGGGATGAAATTTAAACATTCCTGGCAGCGTTAGAAACCCAAACGCCGTAGCTTGACATCAGTGAAGGAGATCCATAAAGTAAAACTGCCCATCAACAGGGGCATGGAGATGGCTCAACTTCCGCCACCCCCACGGCCGGAAAAACAAATGGGAGAAAAATTAAAGTTGAAATGTAAGCGCATTGAGGCAGGGACTGGCAGTTGTTATAAGTTTGTACAGTACCGGGCACACCAGGGCCTGACGGGGCATTACCACAATATACATGTTAGAATAGAATAATAAAATAATAATGAGTTGAAAAATTCTTTCAGTTTTCATAATCTAAGGTATAATTAACATAGGTAGAGATTTCCTTTTAAAGATATAATTTGATTTTAGTAGTACATCATTAGGAATATATGCACGTAGAATCATAGGTTAGAAGGGACAGCAAGGGTCATCTAGTCTAACCCCCTGCCAAGATGCAGCATTTGTTGTATCTGTCAGTGGTTCTCAACCTATTTACCATTGTGGGCCGCATCCAATACTACCTATATGGCCCCAAGGATGTCACATGGGCTGCAGCTGTGTGCTGATTGGGCCACAAGCAGCCCACGGGCTGAGAACCACTGAACCATCCGAGACAGATGGCACATCTCTCTCTCATACCTATTCTGCTACTGATGTGGAATCTTTAACAGCGTGCTCACGCATGCACCTCTCCCCCCGCCCCCCTACCGCAGTTAAATGTCTTTGCAGTTCACCTTAAAATAATTGCAATGGATTCCAGCATATCCCACAAATCCTGATTGGGAAAACAATCCCTGTTCACTTTCCAGCTTTATTTTGTCCAGGATACTTACAAAGATGCTAGAATCCTTGTATATTTCCTCCTGTGTTGCAAACCTGTTCACTTATTTTTCGCATCAGAGTGAAATTCACCCCTTGCGCAGAGGATCAACACAAGACCCTACGTACCATTCCAGTCTCTCTCTCTCTCTCACACACACACACCCTCCTTCTGCAGTCTTTATTTAGCCCAAACTCCCCCCACAGCCTAGCAGATCCAGATCAGGCCCTTGTAAGCCATGGAGAGGTGGCTTCACTTACCCACGCAGTCGCAAGTGGGGAATTCCGCCTGAGCCCGCTTGGCTGGGGTGTCCAATAAACTTTTTGTTGGCGTATCCAAGTATTTCAAAGGAGATTCCAAAAATCCACTGAGGGTTGGCGTAAACGGCACGTCGTTCTTGGTCGGGGTCCCGTCTAGGTAAGTAGCATCCGTGTTTTGGTTTTCCTCGGAGTAAAAGCAAGTGGTTGACACCACGGTGATAGCACCAGAAGATTCGATTTTAATCTGCTTGGGGGACCTAGCTGCAAAGGGGTTCTCAAAATGCTGCCCCATCCCGGGCGACAGCGTAAAGCCTTTGGATCCCACTTCGGGAGCTTCAGCCAGGGGCGGCACTACATCTTCGACAGCCGGCACTTGGAGGGTTGAATCTGAGCCCCCTGGCAGTTCTGGAGAGTGGCTCAGAGAAGACGACGGGTGGGAGAGAGGCTGGGGGGGCAGCCCGTCAGTGAGCGGAGCTGGGAGGTCAGAATTCTGCAGGCTGAAATTTTCCCCAAACTCCGCCTCGAACTGCCGGATCAGCTCCTCCAGCTTGTCGTCCACCATGAGCGAGTTCTGGGCCGGCAGCGGGTCCGACGGGTTTAAGGGCTTGTGGGGAGCTTGGTCCTGCCCGTCGCCGGAGGGAACAGCAGAGCAGCAGGGCGCGTAGCTGGAGACGGGAGTGCCGGGCGGAGCAGGGTGGCACGCAAAGTTCTGGTGAAGGTGATGCTGTCGGTTTTCCTCTGGGCTCCCTTGGCTGAGAGCGCCCGTTTCCTGAGTGTTGGGAGCCTGGCTTCTGTCGTCCAGCTGCTTTTGCAGTGGAGACTGTGCAGCGGAGCTGGGTGTGAATAGTGCAAGAGGCGGGGGCTTGACAGGGGTGACGGGGAAAGGCTGCTCAGTCTGCATCTCTTCTGTCGGGAGCTCAGGGGCGGTGGCTGAGTGAAATCCTTCCAAGCTAATTTGCCTCAGGGGCAGGAACAGTGGTTGTGAATCCTTCTGCTTGGACTTCTTGATCTGGACTTGCTTCCGGAGTGGCTTGACCTGGGGGGGTTTGTCGGGCTGAATTTTCTTCTTCTTCTCTTTGGCCTGCTTTTCAGATGGCTTCGGAAGCAGGGCCTGAGAGCCGGGAGCCCACCAGTTGGGCAGCTGGTCCTGTGGGCCCGGCTGGGCCAGGTTCTGGTCCAGGAAGAGATTGCGCTTATGATGGAGGTGCTGCTGCAGCACCATCTGGGTCTTCTTATGGAAGTCCGTTTCTTGCAGCAGCTGCGACAAGTGCTGGCTGGGGGCCAGCTTGGGATGGCCACCCCCGGCTTCCTTCTTCAGAGGCGGGACCAGCGGCTCTTGCTTCAGCTTGACGGCTTTGACCTTGTTGGGCATTGCTTCAGGCCTCTTAAACACCGACTTGATGTAATCGTTGGCGCTGCCCAGCAGCTGCTCCAGCTCAGCCATCGGGTCGCTCACCAAAGAGGCGGGCGGGTCGGAGTTGAGCATCCACAAGTTGTTTTTTGGCTTGGGTCCTTCATCCCACGGCTCGGGAAATTCCAGTTTCTGGGGGGTGGAGGTGAAATTGGGGAAGAGGCCCGCAGGCTCCCGGGGGGCGCTGGGTTCGAGGATATACGGGGGCTCCGCCGGCTGCCAAGAGGACTGCGTAAGGGCCCGAGACGTCTGGAGCACTTTGTGTCCGCCGTAGGGTTGTGCGTTCTGGCTCTGGTACTGCTCGTTGCTGGATGTGGGTAGCACCGGGGGTTCGTCTGGGCTGAAGGGGGACGAACAGACCAGCTGCTCCTTGGAGACGAACGACACGGATGGCAAGGGGCTGCCGGGAGTGGCTGGAGTCACCCTGGCCGGCGGCGGGAGAGCGGACGACAGCTGGGTCAGGGCTTCTATGGCGATGGCTGTCTGGAGGCTAATGTTCTTCTCCTTGGCGATGTTCAGTGCACTTTGGGAAAAGGGGAGGCCATCTGAAGGGCATGGCTTAAGCGTCTCCACCACGGCAGGCACCTGATTGGGAGTAGCACCTTTGTCTAAGGGCTGGTGGTGGGCGTCGCTGAGATGCTGGGATGGGCGGGTCTGCCCCTCCCCAAGGGCCGACTTGATCTTCTGCTCCAGCCACTCCAGGTAGTCGGGACACTCGGGGCCGTCACAGTTGCAGTTGGGGGGCTTCATGCCGTGCTTGGCCAGGGTCAGGGCAGCCTTCAGGGCGTTCAGGTCCTCACCTCCAGGGACGCCGTCGGGCTGGGGGAGCCCTGGGTTGCCCGCCCCTCCCCGGCTCATCTCCAAGTTGAATTTCTCATACAGCTGCGTGCTCAGCAGTGACGGGGACCCGGTGGCTGGCATTCCGTAGGAAGACATGGCCTCGGCCACGGCGGAGAAGGCCACCAGGTTCCGAGCGTCCTCCAGGTTCGCATCGTTGGCGGCGTCCCCCCGGGCCGGGGCCGGAGCGCTCTCCCACTTGGCTTTCTCGCTCGAGTGCCGGGCGACAGGCTGGCTGGCGAGCCAGCCGTCCGTTTCCATTAGCAGGGCACTTCCCCCAGCCTGCTGGCTCCCCCCATTCACCAGGCTGGGCCCGCTTCCTTCCTTCAACCTTCTTTCTTCAACATAGTTAATTGGCCCTTCTTCCATTTGGCCTGTTTTGGGTCCATCAACTGGGTTGCCCTCCGAACCTGTCTGAGAGGAGAAAAGCAGAGGGTAAATACCCACATAGCCACCCTGGCACCCCCAGACCATCCCTCTTTTAGGGTGAAATCTGCCCCCCCGCCCCCTGGAGAGGGCCAGCAGGAGGCCTGAGTGGTACTAATGATGGGAGCGCTGGAGTAGAGCAGACGCCAGCTTTTTAACCATAGTGCCATCTGAGGCCTTGGCTGCCTGTAAACTTGCACTGGTTTTGTTAAACCCGTGCAAACCCCCGTGTGGATGCTCTTATTCCGGTTTATTTCACCTTACCTGACAGTGATTTCCAATTGACTTAATCTAGACTGGAACAATCCTGGTCTGAATTGAAATCAGAGCATCCACACTGCATTTGGCACTGGCTTAACCACATCGGTTTAGGCGAAACAGGTGCAACTCTGTGTGTGGACAAGCCCTGACATGCTCACGGCAAGTCTATGGCACAGGGGTTAAAACGCGAGTCCCTTGTCTACATTAGTGCTCCCAAATGCACCGGCGGTAGCAACAATGGGAAATGTTAAAGATCTAATGAAGACTGGACGTATGACTGGGATCTTCCCAGGAGCAAGGTGCATACCTCACTAGGCCATCCCACTGAGCAAACCCTTTTAAAGGCACAAGCCTCACTCACCTTCCCCTGCTCCTTTTGTTCCTTTCCTCACTGATTCTAGCCCTGAAAGATACCTGCTTGGATCTCTTTCTGCCTCTCTGTTTCCTTTTCCTCTGCTCCATCTGTTTCCCCCTCTCTGCCTGTGTCGCTCAGCTCTGGGAAACGTTATCACAAAATCGGAAAAGTTAGAGACAGGAAATAGCTATCAGTGCGGGTCAGCTAGTCCATCTCTCAGCGGCCAAGTGCAGCTCCCTCTGGACTCTTTTCGAGTGCTTTTCTACCTCTGGCTAAACAGTGGCTGGAGGGTGGCTTGCAAATCTCCAATGTCTGCTCTTTACCTCCACTCTCCATGGGTTGGTGAGTGAAACCAACTGGATGGAAATGACTAGATTACATTCAGGGCGACGGTGGGTTGGGCTCACAATGAAGATTTACGACTTATGTGGAACAAATTTGGACGGTCTCTGTCCCAGTGCCTGATGGACAGGGGCCATGTCACAAAAATCGCCACCAGAACCAGTACCAGTGCCAATTGACTCCTTCATTAGTAGCCTTGGCAGAAGAATCAAAGGGGCCGTATAGAGCAAACTCGCCTCTTAGCTTCAGGCTAAAGTCAGCAGCACAGGGCAGCTGGTGCTGCAGCTACCCATGTCTGCAGTTCTGATCAAAGCGTGGACAGGGCCCAAAAGAGAGAGGTTTGAGCGTGTAGGTCAAGAGGCTGCTCTCTGTTTGACCCCAACTCTAGACCTAGCTGGGAAATCTATTCCTGCTGCTGTAGTCAGCACCCTGTGCATTGCATGTGTGAAAGTCCAGACACAAGCCAGTGGGGTCTCCGGAGTGGGCCAGTTTATTGCAAGTGGAAGCAGAGTGACTAGCCGCATTAACAAGTGTCAGCTCACAAGCCCAGAGTGCCTGGCATGCGGCATTCCAGCATCGCAGGCTTCCTAGCGATATCAATCAGAGTGCCTGCACAGCTGGCCCTGGGGCAGGGACACAGAAAGCCCTAGGGTGATGCAGTATATTGGGTAGGGGACGTTTTAAGTCTGCTATCCAGTCCGTCTTGAGGAGAGGTGGTTGGAGTGGATCTCCGTAAAGGCAACGCAAGCAGCGTATAATACTCTGCACTTACACGGCACTTTTCGTCAGCAGACTTCAAACCATTTGTAAGCGTTCTTACCTCCAGTTTACAGATGGAGAACTGAGGCACTGAGAGATTAAGTGGAGTCGGAGTCAGGAATAGAAATAAGCTCTCCTGCGAGGAGGCAGCATGGTCTAGCAGATAGATCACTGGTGTGCGACTCAGAAGACCTGGGTTCTATTCCCACCATTGGCCTGCTGGATGATCTTGCGCAAGTTACTTCACCGCTCTGTGCCTCACTTTCCCCAGCTAAACACAAGGATGATAATACTGAACTGCTCTGCAAAGGGGTTTGAGATCTACTGATGGAAAGCAATACATGCATTATTGTAATGCCCAGACGTGCTCTATCATGCCACACTGACTCAATCCTCATTATACCCTTAGGAGGTAAGTTTCATTGCCTCCACCTTACAGATGAGCAAACTGAGGCACAGGCCCAAAGCCTAAATTTCCACTCATTCTGGCTGCTTGATTTTTTGTAGGGGGCCCAATCTGCAACACCTACAGCCTGATTTTCAGAGGTAATGAGCACCTGAAGCTCCCATTGACTTCAACTGGAGCACTGGGTGGTCGGCACCTCTGAAAACCAGGCTGTAGGTATCTCATGTTGGGCACCTAAAAGCGGAAGCACTCAAAATTAGTGGCCCCTGCAAAGTGACCTGGCCAAGGCCACACAGGAAGTCAGTGGCAGAGCTAGGAAATGAACTAGGGCAGTCCCTACCTACTGGACCACATCTTCCACTGTGCAAGCACCAGGAGCACTTTCTAGATTGTGCATATACATACGGCTCACCCACTGTCTATAGACATGCAACTCTGGAATACAGCACCTCTACCCAAGGGAGGCTAAAATGCACTATTTCAGGAGGGGAAGTTGAGAATGAACTTTTGCTATTGAAAAAACAAGGGGATTTTTCCAGAGGCTCAAAACAATCCCCCAGGAAATCACGGCTCACTGTAACAACCCCTCCTATTGCAGAAAGCATCATGCAATCCCCACAGCAATTCCAAGAAGCAGAGCCTTTGGTTAGCGTGCCCGTTAACTGTAACTTACGAGCCCAATTTGGGGAACGAAATGCATGCTAATTCAAGGGGGTCTATTTCACCTGTTCGTGCAGATGTATAGCTTCCATTCTTTGCCTCTGGGCTGAGCCGCGTCAGTTTAACCTGGCTTCTACCAATGTCACTTAGATCAATCAGGGACGGGTTTAAGCTAAACCAAATTAACAGGGTCTATACAGGGTTTTGCACCAGTTTGAGTAAACTAGTTTAAACACCAATAAAAGTTAAACTGATGCTACTTGTGTGTGTGTAGACAAGGCCTCACCTGGTGCAAATTTGCATGCGGACAACCCCTAATTTTATCTATGGTGCCCCTCACTCTAGCATCTGCCTGTCATGCGATAGGCACTGATTTCACACTCAGCCCTTACATCTCAGCATTAACGGTGGGGGAAGAATAGGCCCCTTACGAGATCTGCAGACTGGAGAATTCTATTTTCATGACCCAACATTCTCTTGCCCCGTGGTGCTATTTTTAATCCACTCTATCGCACATTTAACCAAGGCTGAAAGGAAGTGAGGGGCTGGAGAGGTGGGATGCGAGTTGATATTTTTACAAGTTTTGCTGATATCAGGAGAGCTTCCTGAATGCTAAAAATATAACAAGCCTTTTTGGAAAAAGAGCAGTGAGGGCTAGAGTGCCCCATCTCCCAAAGTGGTCTGTTTACCAGCACTTGGGGACAAGACTTTTTATATGGCCACTGTCAAGTGCAGTAGCTGGAACTCCAGATTAATGTACTGTAGGGATCAGTGCTGAATCAGCTGGGGGACAAACCAGAGAGGACCTATCTGCTCAAAGTACAATAGCTTCCTATGTGATCCTGCGAGGAGTTGAGGGCATCCTTGTCTCCTTTGAAAAAGCTTTTCCAACACAGCAAGAATGACATTTGCAACACTGACGCCTCCATCCACCCAAACACCGCCCCCCAGTAAATAAAAAGTAGAAACCAACAACAAACAAGCAAATCAAATCCTCAAGCGGAACTTTTTACCCCAAAAGGGAAAAGTGCCCAATTTCATGAAGTCCACTAGTGCAGCAGTTTTCAACCTTTTTTCATTTGCGGAAATTGTCAAATGGAGGTGTGGACCCCTTTGGAAATCTCAGACAGTCTGCAGATCCCCAGAGGGCCGCGGACCACAGGTTGAAAACCACTGCACTAGGGACAGCATTATAACTTCTGCTATTGATTGTGTACGGAAGGTGCTCAAATACAACGATGATAGGTGGTAGAATAAAACCAACTGGATGGATCCCTACTAAAAGGCAAACATACCCCTGTTAACAGACTGATTTTCCACAAAACATTTCAAAGGAAACTAAAAACATTTCACTCCATTCAAAATTTGCCGAGGAACTTTATTTGATTTTTCATGTCAATGAAATAAAAAGACCCCAATCATTTACATTCAGATTGAACATTTTCTTCTCCCTTTTTTCCACTGGAGTAAAAAGGGGGAGGGAAAACCACATTGAAAACGTTTCGTTTTGAATTGAATCAAAATGAAATTTGTCCTTTCGACAAAATAACTTTTTTTTTCCTGCGGAAAATTCCGTCTCGTTCAAAAAAGAATATTCCTGCCCCCGCCCCCAAAAGAAAAAACTTTCTGACAAAACAATACTGACTACTCTAGTGAAAATCCAAACCGGTATCTCTATTGCTCTATTACCCCAGCACAGCAGTCACTGTTGCTGGGAGTTATCAGTGACCTACATGGATTTGGCATCAAAGGTGGGCCTCTGTTTGGCAAGTGCTCATGTTATGGGGAGCATACAAATCCCAGAAGTGACTCCTAGAAATTACTGTTAAAATGAGGGCGGTGTAATGCCATGGGCTGAATTAAGGCTAAACAAGGCCTATTCCCCCAGTGATTCAAACCACCCTCCCTTTTACCTGGACAGATTTTTCCTACCCCTAGAGCAGATCTACCTCTGCCAGCACTCCTGGTGATGGAGCCTCACCTTGAGCCTCCTCCTAAACAGGCGATCTCGGGTGCTGCGCTGCTGACTGCCCCTCTGACTCACTGCCCCGGATGCCAGGATTCCCGAGTCTTCCCTAATCCAGCCCTGTGCCGTGTAGAGACGACGGTGGGGGCATACCATGCTGGATGCCAGCGCTGGACAGGAAAATTCTTGCAGAGGTTTCAAAGTACGGGGCATGTCTGTACATTTAATAACTGATCAGC